GAAGAGGGTCGAAAGGAAGAATCTGAACAAATTTTATGGAAGCCTACAAAGTTTAACTAGATTTTCCACAAATAAAAAATGAGTATATAGTCATAGGAGGAGATATGAAAGCTAGGATAGACACAGTCCCACTAAGGAATAATTGAATCAAACGTGAGAAGTAGTAATTAATCAAAATGGAAAGTGTAAGCGTGATTTAAGTGAATTTTTAATGCATTACGAAATAGAAAATACCGTTTTTAGACCATAAAGATATCCCAAAATTTCTCGGGTGGAACAGAGGATACAATCAATAAATTGACTATTTTATTGCGCAAATGAAAATAATGGAAAACTATTTTCAGGACGTGAGTGATGAGAGGAAATGGATATAAATTTCAGATTCATCTTCCTAGTAAGAGGAAAGTAATCCTTAAAACTAAACTGGACAAGAACAACACGATTCAAAAAGATCAACGCATAAAGGAAACAATATGGAAAGCTAAACCTATTAGAAGACCCTAGCATCAGAAAATATATTTCAATCACGTATAAGACTATATATGCTAAGGAACCCATCAGAGAATATTGAAAAGAATGGCAGAAGCTTAATCCAACTAATAGAAAGTGTAGCTTTTGAAACCTTAGGGAAAAGGAATAAATATAAGGGATCTTATGTGTGGAATGAAGAATTAAACGTGCAGTTAAAGAAGGGTCATATCTACAGTGGCTCATGACGAAACTCCATGAGCATTGGAGAATTAAAATGAAAAGAAGAGAAACAAAAAATAAAGTGGGAAAGATACATATCTAACTAGAAGAGATGTTAATTGTTCGCGAGTATACTGCTTTACCAAAATTAATGAAAACCGTAACAGAAAAGAAAAAGACGCAAGCCAAATCTTCCTAGAAAGAGAAGAATGGATGAAGTTCTTAAGGGTAAATGTAGCCATTCACGTGCAGCACCCCAATAAGTAAAATTTACTTTACCGAATAGCATCTGAAACCAATGTATTTCGATTTTCGATCTGTAAAAGGCAATTAACGCCTTTTTAAATAGAATTTACGCCACGATGACGCTTTTGTCCAAAAATCTAGCAAAAACGCGAATTTGAAATTAGTTCTCAAACTTTCGAGAACAAATTAAAAAAATGTGAGGCTTATGAGCGCGATGGCGTCATGGCTTCTTAATCACGCCGTGACAATCATGCAAATCGAAGAATGTAAGGGGCGGTCGTAGTGAAATTTACGAAACATTTCCCCGCCAGCCCACCCACCACCCACCTTTCCCCTTTCTGCGCGCGTTGTGTCGACCACCCGCCCGTTGTGGCCCTCTGTCGGTCGCCGGAGTGGCGCGGCGGCGGCGGGCACGGCCAGACCAGGCGGAAGGGGCGGGTCTTGCAGGACACGTAAGCCACACAGTGAATCAACGTCTGTACGATACTAAGTCACCTTTGCATCTCAATCTAATTTTTCCACGGATACCCAAACTAGAAGATGCTGTATTTACTACTATTACACATACCGTTTTACCTCGTCTGTAATAGTAGTACATAACTATATTTTCACATATTTCCAGTCTTCCTTCCGAATACACATCTAAAAGTTGTTTGACGGCATTACGCAAACGATTTATCGTGTCTGATTTGAACTTTTTATTTTTTTTTAAAGGAGAACTAAATGTGTAATATAGCATTATTCCATTTTCTCACATCTTATTTTTTAGTATATTTTACTACTAAGGTCTTCTGTTATCATTGCCACATTGCTCTAAGATGTTTCGTTGTCAAATACCCGGAAAGAATGAGCGTTCTATATGCAGGAGCTCCTTTTAGCAACTCGATTTCTGATATCAAAAGACGTTTATTCTGATTGTAAAAAAGGTTCAATCTGGTGATATCTAAAATAATATAAATATAATAACAAAATGCATTTATTATTTACATAAAATAATGTATACAAAAAATAACACCTCTGGAAAAATAATCGGCTGGAATCCGCTCCTGCTGTGACACCTCTCCTAACTCCGTAAGCGGAAGGCGATAACACAGAGATCCTCGTAGGTCATCGGAAGCGACCGCTGGTCCTGCACAAACCTGGCGTCTCCCACGACACCGTTTCTGGGAGAGGCGAAGCGATGAGGAGGAGACTGGAATTTTCATGACGCGAGCTGCAATTACTGGTTTTTGAATTTCTTGGTTCTTTTTATGCATGTAGCCGCAGTTATCTACAGTGTAATTTTCGTATATTATTATTATTATTATTATTATTATTATTATTTCTATTCACATTTATTCAAAAGCACCGAAATCATTGTGTGACTGTGAGGTCAGACAATGTACAAAATGGTCAATGAATTGAGTGTTTGTAAACATTTCTTTCAATAAAATTGCACCACTCTTCAGTGCAAGAAGTCGCAGAGACAACCACTAATTTTTCATAATTTACTTTTTTTATGTCACAAACATAATGTACAAACTTTTAGAATTACGTTGGTCAGTCAAAAAGCTTTGTGTTATTTCTTTTTATCTGCCTTTTAGTCTGTACAACAGAGATTGTGAAAGTATTGCATGTCTGTCCTAGCGACTTTGACGGTCTGTAATAGTAGTATAGCATCTCTAGTTTGGTATCTGTGGAAAAATAGATTGAGATGCAAAGTGACGAACGCATAAACCGACTGTCTGGACCGCCTGCTCCGCCGGGGCTGGCCGCACGCCGCCTGGCCTGGTCGTGCCCCCGCGCCGACAGAGGGCCCACAACAATCGGGTGGGTGACGCAACGGCGCAGAAGGCGAAAGGGGGAGGTGTTTTCGTAAATTTCACTTTACGACGCTCCTATTTGTCCGATAAACATGATTGTCGCTGCGTTGGATTCAGGAAGCATGTCGCCATCGCGCTATAAGCCCACATTTTTAAATTTTTTCTCGGAAGTTTGAGAACTAATTTCAAATTCGCGTTTTTGCCATATTTTTGGAAAAAGGTTATCTTAGCGTAAATTCTATTGTAAAAAGGCGTCAAATGCCGTTTACAGATCGAAAATCGAACCATTGGTTCAGATGTTATCGGTAAAGTAAGTTTTACTTATTTTGGTGCTGCCACGTGGTGGCTACAAATTGTATTAGTGTCCGGACATTTAGCCTTAAACATCTGTGAACAAAAGAAGAGGGAGAAGATTTAAATGATGAAGAGGAGGAAAAGAACATATGTATATCAGAAATTGATAAAATAGAATTCAATGAACTTCAAGAAGCTTTACAAAGTTGTAAAAACAGAAAAGCTCCTGGCTCAGACAATTTAAATATACAACTATTCAAATATCTATCAGAAGAAGCCAAGTATAGGCTAAATTGATTTCCTAAATCAATGCTGGCAACAAAAAAGAATACCAATGGAATGGAAGAAAGCAGTAGTAATACCCATTTTTAAAAGATTGACCAACAACTGACTGCGAAAATTATAGAGCTATAAGTCTTCTGAATACGGCATATACAATGTATGAGAACATAATAGTAAATAGATTGAGAAACATTGTAGATAGTATACTACTTGAAGAACAAACAGTTCCGGAACGGAAGATCTTGCTCGGATAATATCTTTATATTAAAACAAATAATAGAAAAAGAAGAGAATACAACCTAAAGACCTACATAGTCTTTATTGATTACAGCATTCGATAGTGTACACAGAGGAAAACTTATGGAAACTTATGGAAAAAAGAGGAATACCATTGCACTTGATCGAAGTTATACGAAATACACACTAGGAACACAGATATACATAAAACTAAAATCTGGAATTATTGCCCAAGGAAATATTAATAAAGGGGTCAGACAAGGGTGTTGTATTTCACCTATACTTTTTAATCTATATCTAGACAATGCTGTGTGAGAATGGAAACAACAGATCATGAAACTTAAAGAAGACAATTTTAAAGGAAAAAAATATTAAAACTTTTATTTTGTTGACGACCTGATTTTAGCTGCAGATAAAGAAGATAATCTACAAAGGGCACTGTATGAAATATATAAAATAACAAAGCAATATAATCTAAGTATATCTACTAATAAAACCAAATCCATGGCATTCCAAGGCTCACAACCTCACAACCAAGATGTAAATTCAAATTAGAAAACAAAACTATTGAACTGGTTAATACCTTTAGATTTCTAGGATGTGACATATCATATCTAGGCGAAGTTGATATTGTAAGGAAGACGGAAAAATTCAATTTGATGTGTGGCACCATTAAAAGAGCGCTCAAAGGAAAGGTCCGTAAAGACACAATGCTAAAGTTTTATAAAGTTATGGCAGTGTCTTGCGGACTTTACGGAAGAGAAAACTGGACTATGAACTCCAGAACACACAGTAGACTTCAAGCAGCCGAAATGAGATAAGATCAGTCCTAGGAGTAACAAGAATGGACTGATTAAAAAACGCGACCATCCGGAAAAAATATAGGAATTTACAACTTAAATGGAAAAATTAAGGAATGCAGAGAACAATGGAAAAAACATCTGGAAAGAATGGAAGACGACCGTATTCCAAAGCAAGTGCTTCAGTACATCCCTAAAGGAAGAAGATGCGTTGGTAGACCCAGGAGAAGATGGTTATATCAAGGAGGCGCAACGGATCAACCGGTCTAATGCTTGAGGAAGAAGAAGTCACTGTATAAAGGGAGAAGTTTTATCCTGCTATCACGGTCTGGAAATTAGTTTCCCTGTCAAAAATTCGCCGTTTTTTTTTGTTGTTTTTTTTTTCTTCCATAGCATTTCAATTCTTTCACTATACTGTATAAACAGTAGCGCAAAAGTAAAATGTATTGATTATTCAATTTTTTAAACACATTTTTTTACAGATTAATTGCAGTTACAACTTGCTTCATCTTCATTGTTGGGTACCATTGCAATAAAGATGGTGTCAGCGTCTTATTCTTGGCCCATCTTTCTTGGGAAACCATGGGTTTGTACACAAACTGATAATACATCTGAAGGATAGATACACTTGTGGACTGACATCTCTAAAATGAAAGCATCTCTTTTGCAGTTCAAACTTCTGCATAGAAAGTTCCTGGGAGAACCAACACAATTTAAAAATATTCAGAATCTTCCTATTGTTCATCATTATGGATATGTGTGTGATCTTCCTCCAGGCCATAGATTTCCTATGAAGAAGTTTCATAAAGTGTATGATTTTTTGTGTTCAAGTGGTATTGTAACAAAACACTCTCAGGTATTTAATAATTATTTTCTATTTATATTCAAAAATGTTTATAAAAAATAGTCAATATTTAATTAAGATGCATATGTTTAAAAATAATCAAAACTGTAATAAAAATTGCCTAGATTATTCCGAGAAACAATAAAAAATAGGCTCAGGATAAATCAAATAAATTTTCTACATTCAGTATTTCCTGGATTCTTAATATTTTTCCATGTTTTAATGATTGATGTGATCCTTGATTATCATTCGATATTCCTTTCAGGTTATCATGCCTAATAAAATACAGAAGAGTGTGGCATCATTAGTACATACTGATGATTATCTTGATAAATTTTTTAGCGGAAGCACATCAACTGAGGAACAACGAGTAACTGGTTTCAGTTGGACATCACACCTTGTTGATAGAGTGCGATATGAATCGGGTATGATAATGCATGAAAAGAAATGGATTTATTTTGTAAGATTTAGTTGTAGCAGTGAAATATTTTGAGTCGATTAAAATATGCAATCTTGCAGTAAGTGACACATCTTAGTTTAATACTATGGTCTGTTATATTGAGAAAATTTCCGTTTGCAAGGTAGTGTTTCTTAATACCGCCATGACTTTATTATGAATGATGATGACTTTATTATGATTATTATGAATTATGAATTAGAATCATTTGCACTGCGATTCAGACCGCATTAGGAAGTGGATTGCTTTAGTACGTGGTGTTCAAAATTAAAATATTATTTAATAGCGAAAATGACAGAGTAAGGACAAGGTCCCTCACAGGAGCAACCTCTAACTCCTTCCAAACAGGTGCGTTGAACATTTCACAGAGAGAGAAAAACAATAGCCAGAGTTGCGGAGATGTGCGAAATTGAAAAAGAGACATTCATTACTTGATGACATTCCGCAATCATTGAAATGGGCGTCTGATTATACAATGGTTAGTAAATCCACTATAAAGAGAATAAAAGCTGAAAAATCAAAAAACCCTAATACTCCAGAAACACCTGGCAAAAAGAGGTAACGTACACATGAAATTTAAACGCGTTTCTTCAGTTCTGTAATCTCCTTATATTTAATCATAATTCGTGAACGTGACGTGGAGGATAAGGGGACTGTTGGTTGTCACCCGTACCTCCAATAGTTCTCGTTTTATTGAATTTTGACTACATTGTTAAATGTACTAAAAGGCACTATGGCTTTAAAATTTGTATATTACTAACGAATGATTACAATGAACTGCAAATGTTTAAAAAAAGTTCTAATAAACAGTAAATTGAAACAGTTTTCCGTTCATTTTCACAAAAGTATATTTTAGCACCCTTTGCAAACTCCACATCAAACACCATGACTTGGGAGCCAGAGCAACGAGGGAAATTGCGAAGACAGCTTCCCGGATCTTGGGGTCAGCGTTTCGACCTGTGGGTGTTGAAGGTTCGATTTCATTCCGACGAAACTATCCATGCCTGTCGAAATAAGAGAGAGCGGATATTGTGGACTGGAGAGCCCGATATATTGTAAAAACGAAGCACATGAAGGAAGAAAACAAATAAATATTTTATTTGTATGAGTCATGGATTGACACCAATTTGTTGACAAATGCTGGCAAACAGTAGTTGACGTGATTGGTTTTACTGAGTGGGGTAGTGCATCAAAGAGATTAGCAACTGCCAGAATTGGGTCGAAAAGGGGGTTTATCCTCGAAGCCTACTTCATATTTGAGGCAAAATTGGCTACTGGAGACTATCACGGACATATGAATTCAGAGAATTTTGAGAAGTGGTTCCGATCACAAGTTCAATATTTCCCTCCTGCTTCTTTTATCGTGTTGGACAACGCCTCATATCATTGCAGGCAGTGCGACAAAATTCCGTCCAGATATGACACGAAATTACAAATGAGTCAGTGGCTAGAAAGAAAGGGTATTTCTTGTGATGACACATTAAGAAAGGACGTTCTATCAAATTATAAAGGAAATGCACCTACCCAGAAATCAAATGTTATAGATGTTCTCGCAAGAGAAAGGGCAAAATGTCATTCGTTTGCCGCCCTATAACTGCGACATAAACGCAATAGAATTTGCATGGGCCAAAATCAAAAGGATATTTAGAGAACAAACATCACGGGAGATATGTTCCATTCAACATTTAGAAGAGTTATCAGTTTCAGCTTTCTCTTCAGTCACTCCATCTGATAGGGAGGGATACTGTTTACACGTGAAGAAGCTGAAAGAATATTGGAGGAAAGATGGATTTATGGAAACGTCGGTTGATAACAATTTTATAAATGCCCCTGCAGGTTCGAGCGAGGAAACTGAAGATTTCTCAGATTCTCAGGAATCAGGATAATTGGAAGTCAGTGTTTGTTTTAAAATGTGTTCGTCCTCAAAAAGTACGCTATGACTTCAGATTTGTATACGGTTATTTGAATTATTGTTTCAGGAATACTGTTCTAATCGAGGGTGGAAGTTATTTCAATATTATTATTATTATTATTATTGCTGCATATTACGTGTTAACATATATTACTTTAACTTGCATTGTCACGAGCTTTGGTGTTTATTGAAATGACAGAAATACGAAGGGGCATGGAAGCGTGTAAATAGGCCTTATAATGAATAACACTTAACTCATACAATAATTGAGTGTAGTCGTAAATCGATTAAAGGATAGCAAAAAATGTGCTCATATTTCATATCATAACAATACGATCTAAGCGATCGCATGTGCTTATTCACGAGTTAGTAGTATTTAAAAAAACTCTGGTGGCCATGGCCGTAACTAATTCCCCCACTCTTCCCGCAACAAGCGGATTGGGGGCTCAAGAAAACGTGCGTGTATAGTATTCATAATGCAAACATAAACATAAGCAAGGAGTTAACAAAAAAGTTAGAACTATGTCCATAAGCGGTGTCATTCACAATGCGTTCTCACAAGCATAACACGTAAGACGTTAACTTAAAAGCTTGCAAGCTTCTGTACTTATGCTTTAGGCATAAGAAATTAACCAATCACAGAACGTTAACTCAAAATCGATAATCGAAAATGGCGAGAAGTCAATAGAAGAACTAACGCCATATGGGGCATGGATACAGTCGATACCTCGATACTCACATCCACCCACTAGTAAACCAGAATGTCTCACAGACAATAGAAACTCTTATTGCTACTTAAGGTAAATGTTCCGACACTAGTACAATTTGTGGCCACCACGTGGCAGCTCCAAAATAAGTAGAATTTACTTTACCGATAATGTCTGAACCAATGGTGCGATTTTCGATCTGTAAACGGCATTTGACGCCTTTTTAAAATAGAATTTACGCTACGAAGCCCTTTTTCCAAAAATCTCGAATTTGAAATTAGTTCTCAAACTTCCGAGAAAAAATTTAAAAGTGTGGGCTTATAGCGCGTTGGCGACGTGCTTCCTGAATTCAACGCCGTGACAAACATGCAAATCGGACGAATAGGAGCGTCGTAAAGTGAAATTTACGAAAAACGCCTCGTACCCCTTCCCCTTCTTCGCCCTTACGTCACCCACCCGATTGTTGTGGGCCCTTTGTCGGCGCAGGGGCACGACCACCATTCACAATGCAAACGCATAGCGCATAGACATTAACATAAGTGATAGACTGAAGTATTCACAATGTCTAACATAAACATGCTTACGTTTAAGGTGGTTAGAGCGAGATAAGTGTTATGTTTAACATGCCTTTTTTATTGTATTAATCGAAAGATGACATGTTCTTCTATGTTCTGGTAAAGTTTGAATTGATTTTACCGTCCAGTTTTTGCGTAACGAGACCGTACAGTTTGCTGTTTTAACATCGGCTCTTATGGTGACCGGACAGATGTGACCTGAAATTTTAAAATTGTGAGAAAATGAACTGTTGAACATGCGTTAAAAAACTTTTCTTTTGATAGCGAGCATCTCGAAGAATCAACATGCGCAATATGAAGGAAATCTACCGGGCAACGAAGAGTATTCAAAGTGATTCAAAACAATGAAACTTTGAAGAAGCATGAGCCCTGAGCTGTCATGCCAATCTCAAGGAAATTACGGCGTTGCCCGATTTATGAAAGACTTTTCGCCTCACTCAAACATTGGAATTTTTGTCATTATCAGCAATTACTGCACAAAAACATTATATATATATATATATATATATATATATATATATATATATATTATATATATCTGTGGTGTGGTGTGTGTGTGTCTAAGATGTTTACGTTTATATTTGCTCTTACTAATTGTGTAATAGTGCATTTTTTATGTTCCAATCTTAATGCTTCAATTTTTTTTATTCCCGTGTCCAGCGCGGATCTGTTTGGTACAAGTTAAGAAAAACTAGTCAACGGTAGCTCTTTATGTGGTATTAAACTATTTTTTATTTACATCTATTAAAAACTAAATTAATTCAAATAATTAATAAAACATCATCATAATAGTCCATATTTGGATAATGTAGGTCCCAACAATACCACCTATCTCGCAAATAATTATTTGAACGTAATATGGACTCTCTATCTACTTAGGGAATATCTCGCTAAACCACCTTAAGACTAAATGCACCGAAAATACTTGTAGGAAAATTCAATAGATCGCAGCACTTCAAGGGGAATTTACCGATAACGTCTGAACCAATGTTGCGATTTTCGATCTGTAAACGGCATTTGACGCCTTTTTTAAAATAGAATTTACACTACGAAGCCCTTTTTCCAAAAATCTAGCAAAATCTTGAATTTGAAATTAGTTTTCAAACTTCCGAGAAAAAAATTAAAAATGTGGGCTTATAGCGCGATAACGACGTGCTTCCTGAATTCAACGCCGTGACAAACATGCAAATCGGACGAATAGGAGCGTCGTAAAGTGAAATTTACGAAAACACGCTCGCACCCCTTCCCCTTCTTCGCCGTTGGGTTCACCCACCCGATTGTTGTGGGCCTCTGTCGCGCGGGGGCACGACCAGGCCAGGCGGCGTGCGGCAGCCCCGGCGGAGCAGGCGCGGACTTGCGGGATACGCAAGCCAGTCAGTCGGTTTCGGCTTTCGTCTCTTTGCATCTCAGTCATTTTTCCACAGATAACCAAATGAGAGATGCTTATACACATTATGACTGAGGTAAACGGTCTGTAATAGGAGTACATAAGTATATTTTCACATATTTCCGTCTTCTTTCGAATACGATCTAAAAATTTTTGAGCAATACTCAACACATCGATTCCGATTTGGAACTGTTTTTTTTAAAAAAATAACTAATTTTGTAAATATAACCATTATTCCTTCTCCTCACATCTTATTTTAGATATATTTTACTTCTAAGGTTTCTGTTAACATCCACTCGCTCTAAGATCTTCCCGGTTCAAATACCGGAAAGAATGAGCGGAGTATACGCCACGGTTCTTTTATCCTACAACTCGATTTTTGATCTC